ACAAACCCTGGCCGCCTTAATTTTTTAAAGCGGTGCCATACAACAAGTGTAGTGTGCGGTGGAAGCAGATGGCCGACACTGTAGCTGTTCATATAAAGAATGACATGGTGCCCTTTCACACCGTAGAAAAGCATGGCTTTAGCTGCACACGCTAAGTGTGTGATCCAAAATATGACCCACCAAGTCGCAGATACTTTGCAGAGGTTGTGCTACCAAAACTGTAGAACGAAACACTATAAACACTCTGTGAAAAGTTAGACTGCTTTGTTTTTTGTAACTACTGCAGAGCTTTGGTCCAGTCGATCTCTTCAGCCGTACATGAGTTTAACTGTTTATTATATCGACGTGAACTGGGCTCTCAGCAGCTGCTGTTTACAAAGCACCTACTTCCCAGGAGATAAATACCAAGTTATTGACTGTGTCATGGATTTAGGGTGTTTGACCCACATGCAGACACAGACGGGGAAACGAGGAACAGTTTAAGATGTTTATTAGACTACACATAAATAAGTGTTCAGGGTTCTGCAGGAGGAAAGAGGAAACTGAATAAGACTAGAAAAAGCTAAAGAAACCTGCCCTGTTGCTGCTCCGCTTACCGCCAGGTACGGATAACCTATCCGGGGAGGGTGAGTGGAAGAAAGGGTTCTGTAACTCACAGCTTTCCGATGGCAGGAGGTGGCTGAGCGACAGGTGGGACTTAGGCGGGGGCCCGAGCAGCACCGCAGTGGAGCCAGGTCTGAGGAGCAGCTGAAGGAACCAGAGTGAATCCAGGAAAGGGGTCTGTTGTAGCACTGAGGCGGCTCGAGGGGAATGACAGAGCAGAACCTGAGCAGCAGGGATTCAGAGACCAGTCCTCAGAGCAAAGGAGACAGGCAGGTGAACAGTCCAGAGATCAACGAACTGAGGGAGACGGGTTAGAATCAGGAATCCAAAGCATCAGGTACAGAGATCTGTCTTCAGGACAGAGGCCTAGGCGTACCACAACGGTTTAACACTCTGGCGTCCTTCAGCTGACTGAACGCTCCGCTTAAGCTCAGCTAAGCAGCCTCAACGAGCCGCAGGTGTGGGGCCACGCCCACCTGTAACCAACAACTACCTGGGGAAGAGAGTAAATGGAGAACAGAAAACAGAACCCTGACAGACTGTTTGATAAATTATATACTTAGAAATATAGCATATAGGTTTACATTTTTTACTGATTAAAAAATCTGTACAATTATTGCTGGATGAACATTTGTGTTACTTGAACAAGATTAGTTTACCTTTTTTTTTTTTTTCTTACACAATACGTTTATTGTTGGCTAAATGTTTACGTTGGGCAATATATTTTTGAATAAAGTAAACCTATTTTAAAATACATGCATGTAGTTTTTAATACTTCAATTAAAATCGTAATCGTCTAAGATGACTTAAAAAAAATTAGATTTTATTTTTTAGCCATATCTAGCCCTACGGTGAAAAGAACATGTCAACCTGGGAGTTTTCCTCTTCCAATCACCAGATACCCTGGTACCTCTTAATGAAGATATTTAACGATAGATGTTCTCTTTCCGCCATCTTTAGCACCTGAGCAGCCGTCTGGCTCGCCTGGCAGTGGAGGACAAACTGTGCCACAGCTTCCAGGCCTTCCACTCTGCCTACAGCGACACTGGCCTGCTTGGCATCTACTTCGTGAGTGACAAGCACAACATTGATGACATGATGCACTGGACCCAGAACGCCTGGTGAGAGCTGATAGTCCCACTTTGAATAAAACTACCCTATTGGTTTTAGGTTTGTTCTTAATGGAATTCCTTCACGTTTGTGTCGTTGCAGGATGAACCTTTGCACCACAGTCACAGAGAGTGATGTTACTAGAGCCCAAAACGCTCTGAAGGCCACCTTGATTGGACAGCTCAACGGTACATTGTCCCTCTATCACAGTGGTGTTTATGGTCCAGACTCCAATGTTTCTCACTCCTATGTTATGTTTTGTCTTTTGAAACCTATACTTGTATTGCATCCTTATAACTGTGAAATCCCACATCCTCCGCAAACCCCCCCACACCGCTCCAGACTGCTTGCGCAAAGCAAGGCCTACAGCCGCCGCTGTTCCTCCCATCTTGCTCCGCTCCGACTTCCTCAGAGCTCTAGGAGAGCAAACCAGCTCTTCTCATCCTTTTCCTGTTTTGTGTGATTGTAATTCTGGATCTTGACCTGGCTGGAGCGGAGCAATAAATAGCTATGCTCCATATTTTGGCGGTGCAGAGGAGTAGCGGTGGATGTGAAACAGTTCTAATTGATTAACATGATAGACAAGTACTCTGCACGACGTACGTTGGTGGAGTGGAGACTGGGGATGTGGAATCTGGGCGTGAGCTAACATCTACTTAATCTTGTAGGAACAACGCCAATTTGTGATGACATCGGCAGACACATTCTGAACTACGGACGGCGTATTCCTCTGGCAGAGTGGAACGCCAGGATTGATGTAAGTCAATAGGATCAAACGGCTTGGAGCTTGCTTCCACAACACGCTGCTGTGCCTTATTTCAAATCAGCTTTTCCTTACTCCTCTCTTCTTTCAGGCTGTAACTCCTAGGATGGTGCGTGACATCTGCTCCAAATACATCTATGATAAGTGTCCTGCAGTAGCAGCTGTCGGTGAGTTCTTACTCTGTACCGTCAGAGTTGGTACCACTGTGGGCTCTCTAATGTCTCCTTCTTGTTTCCACCAGGTCCTATTGAGCAGCTGCCCGACTACAACAGAATGCGAAGTGCAATGTACTGGCTCAGATTTTAGGCAAAGAAACGGTGTTGTTCAGTTTGTCCTCTTCNTGGAGGGTGCTAGTGTTTCCAGTCCAGACATCGTGCCCCTCATGGTGGCCAATGCAATCATTGGCAGCTATGACCTTACATACGGTGGTGGAAAGCACCTGAGCAGCCGTCTGGCTCGCCTGGCTGTGGAGGACAAACTGTGCCACAGCTTCCAGGCCTTCCACTCTGCCTACAGCGACACTGGCCTGCTTGGCATCTACTTCGTGAGTGACAAGCACAACATTGATGACATGATGCACTGGACCCAGAATGCCTGGATGAACCTTTGCACCACAGTCACAGAGAGTGATGTTACTAGAGCCCAAAACGCTCTGAAGGCCACCTTGATTGGACAGCTCAACGGTACATTGTCCCTCTATCACAGTGGTGTTTATGGTCCAGACTCCAATGTTTCTCACTCCTATGTTATGTTTTGTCTTTTGAAACCTATACTTGTATTGCATCCTTATAACTCTGAAATCCCACATCCTCTGCAACCGCCCTACTCCGCTCCAGACTGCTTGCGCAAAGCAAGGCCTACAGCCGCCGCTGTTCCTCCCATCTTGCTCCGCTCCGACTTCCTCAGAGCTCTAGGAGAGCAAACCAGCTCTTCTCATCCTTTTCCTGTTTTGTGTGATTGTAATTCTGGATCTTGACCTGGCTGGAGCGGAGCAAAAAATAGCTATGCTCCATATTTTGGCGGTGCAGAGGAGTAGCGGCGGATGTGAAACAGTTCTAATTGATTAACATGATAGACAAGTACTCTGAACGACGTACGTTGGTGGAGTGGAGACTGGGGATGTGGAATCTGGGCGTGAGCTAACATCTACTTAATCTTGTAGGAACAACGCCAATTTGTGATGACATCGGCAGACACATTCTGAACTACGGACGGCGTATTCCTCTGGCAGAGTGGAACGCCAGGATTGATGTAAGTCAATAGGATCAAACGGCTTGGAGCTTGCTTCCACAGCACGCTGCTGTGCCTTATTTCAAATCAGCTTTTCCTTACTCCTCTCTTCTTTCAGGCTGTAACTCCTAGGATGGTGCGTGACATCTGCTCCAAATACATCTATGATAAGTGTCCTGCAGTAGCAGCTGTCGGTGAGTTCTTACTCTGTACCGTCAGAGTTGGTACCACTGTGGGCTCTCTAATGTCTCCTTCTTGTTTCCACCAGGTCCTATTGAGCAGCTGCCCGACTACAACAGAATGCGAAGTGCAATGTACTGGCTCAGATTTTAGGCAAAGAAACGGTGTTGTTCAGTTTGTCCTCTTCCCCTTGGCCTAGCTATTCTTCTATCCCTGCAAATGTTAACACAATCCACCCGTCTTCTCTCCCTTTTTATTTTTTTTTATCCCACCCCCCTCTGACTAGTCACCCATGAGGGATGCCGCAAGTCTGTCCGTAAAATATACTCTGTATATTAATTGTATACTCATCATCTGAAACCTTGTTGTAGAGAAAATTGCAATGATTACAGAGTTGGTTTCATGATAATTACCTAAAATAATTCAGCAAAAAAAAAAATCAATGTCAGATGGAGCAACAAGAGTATATTTATACAGACCGTATACATTGTTTTATGTCCATTATTGTACATACCAGAAGCTGTCATTCAGACGGAAATAAAAACGGTGAAACTTTTCTGAGTCGTTTTATGTCCAAAGTGTGGTTAAGGGGCCATTTGCAGCCCTTAGATGGATTGTTTTTTTTTTCTTTTTTTGTTTTTTTTGCAGTCTTCAACACAATTTAAGGGAATAGATTATGTTTGGCACTCATGATTTTATAGATTCACTATTTGGTGGATAATCTGGCAAAAAAAATGGATGTAGATGTTTTATTCTTCCACAAACATAAGTGATGGTAAAATGTGTAGTTTCATGTTTTGGCATAGATTTTAAGGCTCAGTCTGTACCCAGAACTGCCTTAATAATTGGTCAACCAGACTTTTTTTTTTCCATTAACCAAACTATAAAGACCTTTGTTTCAGGTTTATATTGCCTGTTTTAAGTTTGTTCAACAGGTGAAAGTAGATTTTGTTTTTATTTAAAAAAAAAAAAAAAAACCTCGCCTCCACTGCCAGGAGAGCCTAAAGACACAGATAAAGGGGTTGTAAAGGTAATTTAAAGTTTTCATGTCTGCAGTTGGAAGGAGATTTCTATAATTTATCAAATTAAAGATTATTTATTGCATAAAGAATGAAAGTTTTCAGTTTGACAAAAGCTAAGGGTTTGGGTGCATCATATCTGCTGTGAAGAGAGGTGGACAGGATGCAGCTAGATGGACATTTGGAGATGGAAGGTTGGTGATTTGCAGATCAATGGAAACTAAAGATGGAGACTGATGTGGAGGATATGCAGGTCAAATACAAGTCTCTTAATTTTGCTATCAAAGCCTTATTTCAATTTGAAGCTGCAGGAGGACATTAAGGTCAACCTGTAAATGTAGATTGTTATGTAACACTAGTGGGTTGAGGTTATAAAGGCCACAGGTGGAGGCTGAAGGTGTTTTTTGGATGCTAGTTGTGGTAGATAGGTAGTCTAGACAACTGTCAACACGTTGCTGAACTCTACAAGACAAAGAAAAGCCACTGAAAAACTTTAGTGAGACAAATTTGAAAAAAAAAAAACAATCCATCTGTGTTGCATAATGGACCTCATATAAGAGGAGTCTGTAAGAAGGTGGAGGAGGTGATGGGTTCTTATCCTGGATAGTGAAGGTCTCAGTGACGAGCTGGCAGGAACAGGGTGCTGCTATGCTATTGGTGAAGCAGGTTAGTGGAGAGATGGTGGTTTGGATCAGAGCTGCAGCCAGGAAGCAGAAGCAGGATCACTGACATATCATGGCATAATTTTCACATCCAGCTAAGAGAAAAACATTTTCCTACTAACCAGTGAACATTGAGCTGTGTTAAGCCTTCAAGGAAGTTTAGTCTCAAAGCCTGTAGAGGGCGCTGATTCAGATGTACAGCACACATCCTCTCCTGACTGAGGTTGATTTAGACTCTGCTTGTGTCCAAGAGGTGATTTCTGGACCATACACACTGGCCCCTTCCACTCTAACTCATAGCCATCTTGACCACCTTTAGACCTACTCTAATATTCTGCCTCTTACCCACCTTCTCCATCCTTTCCTCCAGCGGTCAACTCAGCTCCAGGATGATGTCATGTCTTTGTTGTACACGGACTGATGCCCAACTAGAACTGCTCAGGGTGTTTGAGGCTCCCAGACTTCTAACAAAGTGGGATGTTTCCAGATGTCCTCCCAGGTGACCTTTTGTTCACATCAGGGGGCACCTTTTTGCTGCATTGCCTTGATTCTGCTCCAGCTTTTTCATTCTCCAAACCCACCTAAGGTCATGTCCATGCAAAGCTGCATCGAAGCCCTCTGTTAGATCCCTGATAAGGTGCCTGAATATGTCTTGGCACGAATGCATCAATGCAGTTGTAGGTCAGATGGGATGTATGGAGGAAGATAGGTAGCTGCTAAGGTCAGAGGTTGAGGATATCAACACTCCTGAAAACTCCTTTCACTGGGTCTTAGATAGCACACAGTCTTAGATTGCAAATATTGGGACAAGTAGCTTTAAACCCTGCTGATGGAGACTGAGACGGAGGTTTTTTCAGGTAGATTTGAATTCTGTTCATGAAGACAAGTGAAGGTTTTGCAGTTAGATTTAAACTCTGCAGATGAAGACCAAGTTAGAGGTTTTGCAGGTAGATTACCACCAGATTCCACATCCTTCATCACGGCTCTGCTCTGCTCCACTTGCGCATTCATGTTAATCTATTCCATATCTACCCTGACTCTATCCTGTGCATGTGTCTTGTCTTGTCCATTTATGGATAAAATGTGTGAATATTAAGACTTTTTTTTTAGCTACTGACCATGCAGGAAAAAAAATGAATAGTTTAACTTTGTTTACAAATCCAGAGGACTCATAAGGTGGTCTTTTATCAGCATTAAGAAAAATATGATTTTTTTTTTTTTAGCTTGTAAACATTTGAAAAACAGACTTCTATTTTTGATTTAACCTCACATTTCCAGTTTTAGATGATAATGAAGCATCAATGCCTATTTGCAGAAAGAATTCAGCTTCTAAACTGGCCTCCCTGCAATCCTGGTCATTGTGTAATGAATAAAAATGAAACAATAGTGGCTTTAAATGGTTCATTGTCTAGAATCTTAAATAAGTTGAAATACTTTTAGATCACTAGGATATTTTTTTATTTTACTTTTGGATTGGAGAGTTCTGTGAAGGTGTGTACACAATCTAGATATGCATAAAAAGGTTTATTTACCTCAGTTGAAGCGGCTTTAATCCAAATAAGACAGCATGCTCTCCTTCCTCCTTTGCTCTGTTGGGCTGCTATGCTAATGCTAAAGCACACACACAAAAAAAGAAAAAACATGATTTATTCTGTTTAATATATGAATTTGTCATATATAATATATGAGTCTGCAGGTTGCCTGAGGTTGTTGGGACAATTATTTATGACTTTAACAGAAAACTAAACAATGTGCATCAGATTGTCTTTGATCTTTTAAGTCTGTGTATTTTATTCATTTATCTGGAGGGACTGATGTCATCATTTGCAAGCAATATGTGTATGATGTGGCAGGGTGTGACTGCAGATCCATAAAGTTTTTTTTAATAGTTTTGTCCAGGATGTACCCCGCCTCTCGCCCATTGACAGCTGGAGATAGGCACCAGCACCTCTCGCAAACCCCAGCAGGGATAAGCGTGACAGAAAATTAATGGATTTCCCCAGATCTGTAGAATTATCTTTTTTTTTTTACTATTAAATTAACATACATCAGATTATTTCATTAGAACAGAAAACTTATGTAATTGTTTCAAAAACAATGAGACATATTTTATCTTTCATGTGGTGATGGAGTTGTCTTAGGTCAGTGTGCCTTTTAGATCAATGACAGTCATGCTGCTGGTAAAACCCACTACATTTATTTACCACACTGACATTTGTCTTATTGTTAACGGATAATCTCTTCTTTAGTCAGATTAGCCCTTGGTCCCCCAGGGCCCAAATATAGTTGCTGCTCTGTATCTGTAATCATCCCATCATTAGTTAGATGAATAAAAGTCCTTTGATGGGTCGCTGTTAAATATATAAATTTATATATCTGCTGCAGCTTATTGGTGCTGAACCCCTGACGTGGTTTTTGTGCTTATACTCGAAACTAAAGCAGATATCCAACTAATTAAAGCCAGCCTTTGTGATTAGCATCATGTTATTTTTAGAAAGAAAAAGACGGGCCAAAGGAAGTGTAATGAAATGAGGGGAGGGCATCGGGGTGTAGGGATGTAAGAGATAAACAGAGAGGGGATGGACACAGTCTCTCAGAATCTGACCAGAGAGGCTGAGGACGTACAAGTTTAGAAGATCCGTCTGTGAAGACCAAACTGAAGGGAGGACACCACAGACCTAACGAGAGGCCATTGGCATAGGAGCAACAAGTGCCTTTTCATTAATTGTTAATTTTTCTCTGTTGAGTGAGTATTATTTATCATTTCCTTTTGCAAACTTTTTGGATGTAAGAAAATGTTGCATAATTACACAAAAGTGAGAGATGCCTGTAATTAGTCACAAATTAACAGATACAGGCTTCTTCAGAATATTTTACAGAATTGAGTGATTTTGTGGTAAATTAATCTTTTAAACATTTTTTTTTAATCCAGTATGTTTAAACAATTACTTTTTTTCTTTTAATGAATGGTATTATTAGCAAGTATGGATATTATTTATGGAATCTTAACATGTTGAATAGCAGTTTTGATAGTCAATACCTATATTATTTTTTAACAAATACAGTACTTTTTTCTTTCTTTCACATATATAATTGAAAGATAACATTTTGAAGGCTTGGAGAGTAAAACATTTGGGAATGACTAAGATTCAAGGATAAAGTTGTATTTTTATTTCCCGACCACAGTTTTGAAAACTTATGGTGCATTAAAAATGTCTGTACCTAGTTTACAGCTATAAAAGATAAATCTATGAGATTCAATTAAAACACTGGAAGAAATCGAAATCTAGATGAGTCATTTTTTCTTGAAATAAGTGCATTTGTCTCTTGGATTGAGGAGGTAAAAGAAACATTTTGCCAATGGAACAAGACAATTTACACTTAAAATAAGTAAACAGAATTCCATTGTCTTATTTCAAGTGAATATTATCTCATTATCTTATTTTAAGTGTAAAAATACTCATTCCATTGGATAAAATAACTCACTTACCTACTCAAATTAGGGTAAATACACCTAATTTAAGAATTTTTTTCTTATTTCTACATTGTTTTTCCAGTGAAGGAAGTGAAAACAAAAACAAGAAATTAGAAAGTTTGTGCATCTTGCAGTCAACTGGACAAAAACAACCGAAGGAACATTTAGTTGCTATTCAGCATATTTAAGATTTAAAGGAAGAAAATATTGATGAGCAAGATTTTACCCCAAAATACACAAAAGGTCAAATTTTGAAATAGAAATAATGTTATAAAAATACACAAGAGAGAACAGACACTTCCATGGAAAAAAAGAGGGAAGATTTTGAAAATATAATCTTGATCATTTTTCTCATTGCAGGCAGGGGTGACCATGTGGAGTGTGCGTGTGTGTTTCTGCC